CTCTTTTCTCTCTCTCTGTCTTCTCTCTCTCTTTTTTCTCTCTCTCTTTCTCTTCTCTTCTCCTCTCTCTCGCCCGGTCTCTATCGCCCAGTGTCTCTTGCCCGGTCTCTCTCTCCCTCTCCTCTCCCCTCTCTCTTGCTTCTCTCTCTCTTCTCTCTCTCGCTTCTCTCCCTCTCTCTGTTCTCCCTCTCTCTGTTCTCCCTGTCTCCTCTGTCCTCCCTGTCTCCTCTGTCTTGCCTGTCTCCTCTGTCTTGCCTGTCCTCTCTGTCTTCTCTGTCCTCACTCCTCTCTCCTCTCTGCCCTTTGCTCTCTGCTGTTTGCTCTCTGCCCTTTGCCCTCTGCCCTCTCCTCTCTCTATACTTCTCTCTCTCTACACTTCTCTCTCTTTCCTGTTCTCTTTCTCTCTCTCCTCTCTCTCTCCTCTCTTCTCTCTCCCATCTCTTCTCCCTTCTCTCTTCTCTCTCTACTCGTCTGTCTCTTCTTTCTCTTCTCTTCTCTCTACTCTTCTCTATTCTCATCTATCTCTGTGTCCCTTCTCTGTCTCTGTCTCCTCCCTCTCTCCACGCTCCTCTCTCCCCTCTCTCCTCTCTCTCCTGTCTCCTCTCTCTCCTCTCTCCTCTTCTCTCTCTCTCTCTCGCTTCCCTCTCTCTCACTTCCCTCTCTCTCACTTCCCCCTCTCCACTCTTCCCCCTCTCCACTCTTCCCCCTCTCCACTCTTCCCTCTCTCTTCTGTCTTCTCTCAGTCTTCTTTCTGTTTTGTCTCTCTCTTGTCTCTGTCTTCTCTTTCTCTTGTCTCTCTTGTCTCTTCTCTGTGCTCTGCTCTCTGCTTTCTGCTCTTCTCTCTCTCTCTCGCTCCTCTCTCCATCTCTTCTCTCTGTTCTCTCTCTCTTTTCTTCTTTTCTCTCTCTCTTCTCTCTCTTCTGTTCTTTCTCTCTTCTCTTCTGTCTTCCCTCTCTCTTCTCTTCTGTCTTCTCTCTCTCTACTCTTCTCTCTCGTCTCTCTCTGTTCTCTCACTCACTTCTTCTTTTCTCTCCCTCTTCTCTTCTCTCTCACCTCTCTGTCTCTCCTGTCTCTCTCTCTCTCGCTCTCTCCTTTTCTCTCTCTCTCTCGCTCTCTCCTTTTCTCTCTCTTTTCTCATCTTTCCTCTCTGTCTTCTGTCTTTTTTCTCTCTGCTGTCTCTTCTCTGTTTTCTCTCTCTCTTCTCTCTGTCTTGTCTCTCTTCTCTCTTCTCCCTGCTTTGCTCTCTGCTGTCTGCTTTTCTCTCTTCTCTCTCTTCTCTCTTTCTACTCTTCTCTCTTCTCTCTCGTTCCTCCCTCCGTCTGTTCTCTCGCTTCCCTCTCTCGCTTCCCCCTCTCTTCTCTTCTCTCTCACTTCCCTGTTCTCTTCTCTTCTCTCTCCCTCTGTACTCTCGCTCCTCTGTCTCTCCTCCCTTCTGTCTCCCTCTCTTCTCACTCCCTCTCTTCTCTCTCCCGCTCTAACCTCTCTCCTTTCTAACCTCTCCCCTCTCCTCTGTTCTCTCTCTCGCTGTCTCTCTCTGTCTGTCTCTTCTCTCTTCTCTTCTTTCTCTCTCCTCTTCTTGACCTCTCCTCTTCTCTCTCACCTCTTCTCTTCTCTCTTCTCCTCTCTCTCTCGCTCTTCTCGCGTCTCACTCTTCTTGCGTCTCGCTCTTCTCCCTCTCTTCCCTCTCCCTCTCTTCCCTCTCCCTCTCTCTTTTCTTCTTTTCTCTCTCTCTTTTCTTCTTTTCTCTCTCTCTTCTCTTCTCTCTCACCTCTCTCTCTCATCTCTGTCCTCTGCTCTGCTGTCTGCTCTATATTTTCTCTCTCTCCTTTTCGCTCTGTCTCTCTGTCTGTCTCTCTCTCTCCTCACTCTCTTCTCTTCTCTCTCCCTCTCTTCTCTCTTTTCTCTTCTTTCTCTCTTTTCTTCTCTCTCTCACCTCACTGTCCTGTCTCTGTCTCTCTCTTTCTCTCCTTTTCTCTCTCTCCTCTTTTCTTCTCTCTCTCTGTCTCCCTTGCTTCACTCTCTCTGTCTTCTCTCCTGTCACTCTCTCTTCTCAACTCTCCTCTCTCTTCTCTCTCTGTCCCTATAGTTGTCCCTGTCTCCTCTCTCTCTCTCTCACTCTCACTCTTCTCTCTCTCTCTGCTCCCACCCTCTCTCCTCTTTCCACACGTCTCTTCTCTCTCTTTCGCTTCTCTCGCTCTCGCTTCTCTCTCTCTCTCGCTCCTCTCTCTCTCGCTCCTCTGTCTTCTCTCACTTCTCTCTTATCTCCTCTCTCTCCAGACTTCTCTCTCTCTACTCTTCTCTCTCCTCTCTCTCTGTTCTTTCTGTCTGTTCTTCTTTTCTCTCCCTCTTCTCTTCTCTCTCTCACCTCTCTCTCCTGTCTCTCTCTCTCCTTTTCTCTCTCTTTTCTTGTCTTTCCTCTCTCTGTCTTCTGTCTTTTTGCTCTCTTCTCTCACTCTCCTCTCTCTCTTCTCTCTCCTCTCTCTCTTCTCTCTTCTCTTCTCCTTTTCTCTCTCTGTCTCTTTCTGTCTCTCTCTCTTCTCTTCTCTGTCTCTCCTCTCTTTTCTCTCTCACCTCTCTTCTCTCTCTTCTTTCTCTCTCTTGTCTTATCTTGTCTTGTCTTGTCTTGTCTTCTCTGTTGGGATCTCCCTGTCAGGCTCTTCTTTGTTGGTCTCTTGTCTGTTCTCGTCTCTTCTCTGTTCTCGTCTCGTCTCGTTTCTCTTCTCGTCTCGTCTCTTCTCTTCTCTCTTTTCTCTGTCTTCCCCTCTGTTTCTTTTTCCTTCGCAGCCATTCCAGTTACTGCCAGGTCTTTAAGCCTCCCATGATTTTCAGAGGGGCAGGGGCAGGGGAGACGTTCTTTGGATAAATTATCCATCATCTTTGGCAGCGCGGGGTTGTGTCTGGACAAGGCGACCCATTCATATTTGTATTCGATCCCCCCAGTTTTCAGCTGGGACCAGATTTTGCATTGCTTGGTCTGGAAGAGAGCTAAACAGAGCTCCTCATCATCTCCGGACTCAGTGGAGGATTTGGGTCTCTTTGGTATTTTGCTTTCGAGTTGGCTTAGCGAGGGGTACAGTTGGTTTCCACCAGGCTCTGGGAT